CTGTACCTGGCTGCTCTGGTGTCGTCCTGCGGCGTCGGATGCCCGCCCTCAACGCGCTGTTTACCGGGCTGCTCTGTCACTGAGGTTTTCTTGGACTCTGAAAGTCCCAGACCGGTCTGGTGCCTTGGCCAGGGCGTTGGGACTGACGGGGTACGACCGCTCGTACGGAAGCGGATTGATTGGACTTGCACGTCGGTATTCCTGGGTGCAGTGCTTGCTGTCCCCGTGTCCCGCAGGATGGGGTCCTGAACACACCAGTGCAGTGCGCTTGCTTTCCGTGCATCCAGATCCCACTTTTCCTTTAAGGTTCTTCCACGTTATTGTGGTCTGGGATGTAGCAGCATTGGTGCTGCGGCTCCTTCCTTCCACCCCCTTATGGGAGACTAACGCAGGTGTAAGCAGAAGGGAAGGGCCGTGGCTTCCGCTGCCGCACGAGACCTCGATCATCGTGACAGAAGCAAACTCGTGGCCGGTGCCGACTCCACATGGGAGGTGGCCACGCTGGCAGGGAACAGGGGATAACCAGCCTCCGCAAACACTTGGAGGGCGTCTTTCACACCCCTCGTTTTCAGGCTGGTGGCTGCTGATGCAGTTCGTGTTTGGTTCCGCCGTGTTCCCAGCGATACCTGTGCGGCAGTACCGCGGGCGCTGTTCCGCGTGCGGCCTGGGAGAGGTCTGCAGGCTCTGGGCGTCTGTTCAGTTCTTCGGCATCTGGTGTCTGGATCCGAAACCCACTGAAGTTTCTTAATTCCCAGTTTTTAGAGGTGCTCTAGGCAAATAGGATGTGTCTGCAGAAGAGATCCTCGATGATCTTCAAGTACTTGGATGCAGGTGCTAAGACAGACTTTTCTTACTCAAAATAAGCATGTGGCAAGGAGCTTTTAACAGTGTTCTGCGCCCCAGAGTGAAGGTGCTCTTGAGACTGGTTCTTATGGCAGGGTTTTTCCTTCAGAAACCAGGTTTCTGTTTATTAAACACTGGATATTACGGTGACGATCAGACTTCCCGATCACCTGCTTGAGGTCCCCCCACCGCCTGCCACGTGGGCAGTTTTACTGTGGGAATCCTGTCTCAGGAGATGTTTTCTCCAAGTGTCTTGATTCAGCCAAGGCTC